AAGATCATACATGGATGGACCAAAGTTACTTTTGCGTCATCTAAGGGTAACGCCCTTTTTTGGGGGAAAACAAACGGATTCCCCTGAGAACAGAACTCGCTCTTGACCTGCAAAGTTTCTTGGTAGCAAAAATGGGACAAACATACACACTCTCTTTGCCGGCCGAGGACCGTGAGCAGTATTTAAAAAAGTTACTGGACACAGGGTTACAGAGCTGTCCCTTTGAAAGGGTATCACAGTATGACAAATTAGACGATGAGGCCATGTCACTTGGATCATACTTAAAGGGTTAGTTCACCCAAAAATGAAAATTATGTCATTAATGACTGACTCACCCTCATGTCGTTCCAAGCCAGTAAGACCTCCGTTCATCACCCTCATGTCGTTCCAAGCCCATTGAAAATGTATGTACGGTATAACGTCCCTGTCCAGAAAGGAAATAAAGACATCATCAAAGTAGTCCATGTGGCATCAGTTGGTTAGTTAGAATGTTTTGGATCATCGAAAATACATTTTGGCCCCAAAATAACAAAAACCATGACTTTAAACTAAACCTTTAACTTGATTTAAGCTATTGACATAGTTTTGTTGTTGACTAGCTATACTATACTGTTGACATAGTGGCAGGCTAAGACTAAAGTGGACTTGGCTGGTTTCAGCTTGTGTCTAGAAAGTGCTAGGACTTTGAAAGTTGTAAAAAGTTTTACAGTGAATGACAAAATGTGTATAGGATGTATGCATGGGGCTGTCAAATTGGATGTTACATTACGCTATCCTATCTAGCCCAGAAGGCTTGATCTACTGCCGTTCGTGTTGTTACATGTAGCCCAGAGCAGTGGTCGTTGAAAAGTCATATAGGCCTAAAGCACTTTCTAGACACAAGCATAAACCATGTTCACTTTAGTCCTAGCCTCCCTCTATTTCAACAGTAAAATCAGTTAACGGCTTAAATCAAGTTAAATATGATCCAAGTGTCATGGCTTCATCCTCTAGTTTGTCATAATGTGAGTGTGTTAATGACAAAAAAATAGGCTACTTACCAACACATTCTCACCCCAAGGCGTCACCTTTGACCATGCTTCAATATTTGACGTTTTAGGCGCCCTTTAGCGTCACTTACATGACGCGATCCTACGGCGTCATCTAACTGACGCTAAAGGAAAGCGTCCGTTAGAGGACGCGGTTAGGTTTAGGTATGGGGTCGGGGTAGGGTACACGCGATCCTAGGGCGTCATCTACCTGACGCTAAAGGGCGCCTAAAGCGTCAGATATTGAAGCATGTCCAAATGCTTCCCAAGGCGTCACCTAACTGAGTGAGAATGGGCTGTACTTACATGATGATTCCACAAGATAGTGGTAGATGTCTGAATAGTCCATATTTGACCACTGCGTGGGGTCATTAATCCAGTTTTCGACCATTTCAAAGGGACACCTCTGTAACCCTGCATCCAGTAGCTTCTTTAAGTTTGTGCCATTTTTGCTACCAAGAAACTAGAGCGCGTTCTATTCTCAGGGGAATCCATTTTGTCTTCCCCCAAAAAGTTACCCTTCGATGACGCAAAAGTATACACCTATACACTTCAGCATTAATTACACACTATCTCTAAAATACCCATTCATTTGTGTCAATTTAATCATTCCCTGCTGATTCACAGTAGATCACACACTCATACTCAGTGGCCGAAGCCAGAACTCCTGTTTGCTCATTGTTCATTCCAGTGATCATGACACAGCTAATAGAGGCTGGATTAGTGTGCAGGAACAGAGTGGGCAAACACACAGAGACTAATGATGGAGACCAGCCAGTCTGCACCACTTTCTCATGCTCTAACACCACCTCTATCATGTTTGCCCCTACATTTATTGGTGCATATTATGTTTAAGTAGTTCACTAAGGTGTTGAAATGCACTGAGCTTGTGTCTACTGATCTATTTTATATGGTCTCTTTTTAGATGGTTATTTCTATATTCCTATTTTATAGCTATACCCATTTCACCCATCCATCTGCCCCCACTGATAATCATACCATAGCTTTGAATGCATTCGTATGTTATTTTATTTATGCTTGAATACATATAAATTTCCTACACTCTTTATCTTTTCTCTGCAAATCTAAAAATCAAAGTCCCCAATTGCCTGCTTCAGTAAATATACTCCATATATTCCTGTCCCCTTCCTCTTTGTTTCTGTCAGTGTGCTCTCCTCATCTGTCGCCTGCGCTTTGAATCCGGAGTGGTCCGCACTGTACCAGACTAGAATTTTAAGCATGTCCTTTGGTCAGGAGAAGGTGTGTGTGTGTGTGGGGGGGGGGGGGGGGGGGGAACGGAGCTGGTGCAGATTTCTCACTCCTGTTTTTACTGGTCTTAGCTATATACAGCTACATGGCTACTGTGTGTTATTTTCATCACATAATCAATTTATTCTAAAAAATTGAACTGATGAAAGGTGAGAAATGTATGCTTTATAAAGTTGCCATGGGATGACATTAGGATAAGAAATTTAGGACATGCAATGAACATGAATACCAGTCAATGAAGTCAAGGTAGAGGTGCAAAAGTTGATAGAATCAAAATGAAATGGCTTGTGATTCTGCATTGGGTGAATGGCATCAAATATCCAAGCTGGAAAAGCAAAGATGACAACATTCTTTAAACCATATGTTTATGTATATGTATATGTTTTAATCAAAATTACTCAACCCACATTGCAAATCAGGTTTATTGGCAAAATGTACAGACTTTTAGCAGTTTCCGATGAGCAAATCAAACAAGAATAATTTTATAAACAATTACTTTTGAAACAGCTCAAAACAACAAATGTTTCAAGTGTTTTCTCAAAATTCAAATGAAAATGCAACTTTTAATGACTTCTGCAGTCTCAAAATTATTCAACCCCTTCATGGAACACCCTTTTTCTCTGCTGCAAACAAGATGTCTAACCAGACACCAGCTTCTGGCAGTGTTTCTGAGGAATCTTAGCTCAATCCTCATGACCAATGGCCTCCAATTCAGTAATATTCTTGGGTTTACATGCTGCGACCAACTTTTCCAAAACCCACCAGAGATTGTATATGGGGTTCAAGTCAGGTGACTGTAGAATCTTCCAGGACTTCTTCTTCAACCAAGCCTTGGTGGAATTGTGGTATGCTTGGGATCATTGTCCTGTTGGAAGGTCTAAGCTTCAGCTTCGTCAGTGACGGCATTATGTTTTCTCCTAGGATTTCCTGATACTTCAATGAATCCATCTTGCCTTCCACATGCTTCAGGTTTCAAGTGCCAGATGATGCAAAGCAGTCACAGAGCATCACTGAGCACCACCATGCTTAACTAACTGTAGCAGATGCTTCATTCTTCCTCCTCCAGACATACCGTTGATCCACAGTGCCGAAAAGCACCAATTTTGTTTCATCGCTCCACAGAACAGAATCCCAAAACTTCAGTGGGATTATTTATAAGATTTTGAGCACTTTTCTTGTGCTTTGGGTCAGTGGTGTACCTCTTGGAGTTCTGGCATGGAAATCGCATGCGTTTAGTACTCGCCTTACTGTGCAAGCTGAAATCTCAGTGCCTGTTGCCACCAAATCTTGCTGCAGGTCTTCTACAGACACTCAAGGGATTTTCTGAACCTGTCTTCTTCGAAAACTGGTTGCCACCGTTGATAGCTTCCTTTTTCTGCCCTGTCCAGGTAGTGTAATCCCTGTTCCTTAAACTTCGAACTTGCTAACTATTCTTCTGTGTCTCCAGGAACATTTAGTGCCTTTGCTATCTTTTTGTATCATGTTTCTTGTTTGTGAAGGGTGATGATATCTTCTCTTAACTTTTTGGACCATTCTTTTGACTTAGCCTATATTTCTAACATGCAGTCCAACGTGACACTCAACAAACCTAGCCAGTTCAGAATATTTCAATTATTATTATTTTTTTTTTTTGATTTTGGTTGAAAAAAAGAGTGCGCTAAAGCCACTTGAGAACATTATTTAAAGCTGCAGTCCGCAGTTTTTCCTCTTTGTTGCCATCTCGGTTCAAAATCTGCCATTGCAGTTATTCGCGGAATAATCAACTTTACATGGGTTGTGCTTCAACAAGGCACAGCGCGGATGAATCCAGTGTTTGAGGAGAGTGTGCAGCTGTCAATCACCGCACCGGTGTGGATACTGTCATTCGGAATCACATATGATTCTTTTTGGAAGTATGCCCAACATAAGAATTTCCACTGGAAAATGTCATCTGAACAAGTAACATCCACTTTTGTTCTGGTTCTGAACAACTAAAGGAAAAAAATAATTGCAGTAAACTGCGCTGATTAAATCTAACAATCGCTTATCATATCACTGAAAACTGTGCAAATTATACCTTGTTCTCAAATTGTCAATATTCAACATCAGCATTGCATCAATACATTTAATGCTCTTCCGATATTTATCCTTGTTTTCACATGGGTCCGGTTGCAGTCTCTTTTTTTTCTGTAGCCATTTTTGAACACTGGCTGGTTATGTATTCGCTCAATTTTATTTTGGATATTTTTAACCCAAAAAGCAACGGACAGCAGCTTTAATATTAGCCTATTTACAAATAACAAACAATTTGTTTTGTTTACAATGCTAATGTTACAGTAGGTAGTTGACGAATACTGAACGTGACCGTACGTGTGGCTCTGTGTATTTTAAAATATAGGCATTTCTAAATAAAACAACTTGATTTTTTAACTCGATTACATAATCCACATAACATGCAGTCCGATATAACCCAGCACTGTAACTCAGCATGCAAGCATCGATTCAAATCTAGGCTACTATATTCGTTCGAGGACGTGAGTTAATATTCGAATGTTTCGCTCCATTCAAATGAGAGTTTTAACTGCACCCTTTTCTGTCGCCACACATATCCCTTCTCTGTTGTGTAACACACTCTCTCTCTCTCTCTCTCTCTCTCTCTCTCTCTCTCTCTCTCTCTCTCTCTCTCTCTCTCTCTCTCTCTCTCTCTCTCTCTCTCGCCACAGCACGCCTGCCTACATCCCTCTCCCAAATCTTCACTAGCACACAAGCAAAAAGGGGACCGAAGCAGACCCGTATCCTCCTTTCCCTGCACACCACGTTCCTCATTCTCAGGTTTTTTGTTGTTGTTGTTGTTGTTTTTGTATTTTTTTATGGCGCAAGGGCTCTGCAAGCGGGACGGTTCTGGGTGCGAGAAAGCCAGCGCGGATTTGGATAAGCGAGCATCAGTGACGGGTCTAGAATACAGCAGCAGCTGCGGCGCCTCCGCCTCCTCGGTCTCATCTAGCCGGCTCTATGACGAGTAATGGTCGGCTCGTTCTGCTGGATGCTCCCTGCTCTAACCGGATCCTCGACGGCACCATATTCAACTGCAGATTGCCATTTTCGGAAGAAACCTTCAAAGAGCTAGGAGATACATATGGAAACTGGGGATCGGAATTTTAGGAAAAAGGATATATAGTAGTGCTTTATTTTATTAGTCTAATTTGCTCATTTATGTTTCGTTCTCGGTGAATTTCCTCATTTCATCGTTGACTTGATTTGTCAAATTGATGCGAGAGCGGCGGCAGCAGATTTAGATTTGCCTGGACATTCTTTTCGTTGGTTTTGAACTGGACTATCCTGGCCATCCATCCATCTATCCTATATTTTTTTTTTCTGCTCCTGCACTTCAGTTGAGCTTATCCTGTTCTTTCTGGGTTTTTTTCTCTATCTCTCTGTCTCTCTCTCTCTCTCTCTCTCTCTTTCTGCGTCTTTCCCTCTTGATTAGAATACACTATTTGCTTAGCCATATTATGAGAAGACAGCGTGTTGGTTAAGCAGCTACGTAGGTCAACAGTTGTTGTAACCCAGTGAATTATTTAGATTCCGATCAGAAGCAAAACCTACCATTGCTCCATCAACGCGAGTCTGAATTCCACATTCTTCCTAAATCAGTATTTATCCTCAATTTCTAATAGGCTACATCAAATCTACGCGCCTAAAATTGTCATGATTGAAACCGAGTAGCTATTGTTTAACATTGGCTTAATTGCAGTGGCGTTTGAATGACATGTTCAGGCCATTATTACAGGCCTCGGCAATTAATTATTATCTTTGATTAGTGGCTTTGCAGCGTGAATGTGTAAGTTTAAGCTGGAGCGTAGCTGCTGCATATCTTACCTCGTTTAGAAACAAAGACCAGGACAAACGATTTAGAAGGCTGAAATTGCTCTTTGTTGGAACAGAGCGGAAAGCGTACAGCGTTCCTCTCCAAAAACAAACAAAACAAAACAAAAAACAGCCAGAAAGGCTCACCTATTTCTTCCTTAATCGGTTCTCACCCAAACGCAACCATAAGGTTCCTACCGCATCCTCCCCCTTCCCCCTCCTTTCGCTCAAATATATCCCATTTTTTAAATTTGGTTTGGTCCCGTAAATTTTCAAATATTTATTTCCTATACATCAAGAGGAAAGGGGGTCCCCCTTTCATGGAATGCGGAAACATGGGTGTGTTTGACCGCGGAGTTCAGATGTTATTGACCACGGTGGGCGCATTCGCTGCCTTCAGTCTCATGACCATCGCGGTGGGCACGGACTACTGGCTGTACTCGCGCGGCGTGTGTAAGATCAAGACCAACAACGAGAACGAAACCAGCAAGAAGAACGAAGAGGTGATGACCCATTCGGGACTGTGGAGGACATGTTGCTTGGAAGGTAAGACGACTGTCATGATTTTTTTTTATCCACCCGATGACGTTTAGCGGTCCCCCATTTGCATTGGAGGGTTCATCTCAGCACGTACACACGTGTTCATGTCGGTTGTTACGGAAACGCATCTTAGGCCTACTGCTTTCATGATGGTTTAAAAACTCCACTTTCAGCACCACGGACAGCGATAGACGCGCACACTGATATCAAACTGGTGTAAAAGATATCAAACAGGGTATTGCTAGATATAGTCCAAACAAAATGCTGTCTCTTATGGCGAGTTGTAACTTGTAGCTGGTTTCTTGCTGGATGATCATGTTCTAAAAACCGGTTTGAAAACATTAATCTAGTAACAGCTATTAGCTGGTTTGTTGCTGGTCTAATAAAGATTTGCCGCAGCTAATGTCCTGCTTGGACCAGCAAATAGACAGCTTAGGCCAACTAGAAACCACGTTCTAAGCTAAAATGGTTCACCACAAAAGTAAAATTAGGTCATGCTCACCCTCATGTCATTCCAAATTGCCTTTCTTTCTTCTGTGGAGCACAAATGAATTTAATTTGAAGAATGTTTTATCCATACAAAGGTCCATAACATGACTGAATGGTGTGTGTGTGTGTGTGTGTGTGTGTGTGTGTGTGTGTGTGTGTGTGTGTGTGTCAGCATAAAAAATAAAGTTATGCAGCTTTGAAATGACCACTTAAAAAAAAGATTATTTTGGGATCTATATGGTTCCAAATAATCTATAAAATAATCTATGGAACTTTTCCATTCTGCAAAAGGTTATTTGCAATGTATGTTTTTTTTAGATTTTAGATTTATTTTTAAGAGTGATGAGGGTGAATAAATTATAATAAAAAAGGGGTTAACTATGCCTTTAAGATGGATTTTCCACATTGGAAGGTTATGGATACAACAGCAGATAAATGCATGTACTGGACTTCCACTATTATAGGTAACACCTGGGGAAAAAATGCTATTCACATGAACCATGTTCAGAAAGGCTCTCTGTATGTCAGGTCAACATTCACAGACTGTTGATTTCCTGTCATGCTTCAGTGGCTGAACTGACTGCTGACTTTGGCCAAGCAAGATCACCTTGTGAGGTCACAGAGCATAACAAATCTCCCTCATCCTCACCAGGGCTCAGTTGAGGCACAGAAGATGGCCTGGGTCTCTGAGGCACACAGCCATATGTATCCTCTGCTGCTTCTAGACCACAGGAAGACCTATGGATGAAAATCTATGTAGCATTATTTCAGAGGCTGGACACTTTGAATTGGCAAAGACATGATGAAGCCAAGTCATTTACAGTCAAATGAGTTCAATTAAGAGGCATACTGACAGGGGAGATTAGATGCTGCTGATCTTGATCATCATCATGACAGCATGTTGTCATTGCCATATGTTGACCATGACAAGTGACTTTGATCACATCTGTCAGTGTGTCCATAACATCTGCTTTTTAGGTTTGTCTGTCAATTTATCCTTAAAGGGGTCATATAATGGTACATGCACTTTTTGTTGATTGTACTGAAATGTGTGTTGGCAGTGCCTGTACACAACCATCATAATGATACAAATCTATCCAGTGTTTTTGTTTTAATCTCCTCATATGTTTTTCCCTGCCTCAAATCGAGCCATCTGACCGTGTGACATCACACGGTCGGACACCCCTCCCACAATTGTTGATTGACAGCAGCGTTTCAACACAGACCTACCCTGAGCGAGCTGTCATCATAGTCTGCTATTGTTTATACGCTAAGCGATTGTGGTGTTCTGTTCTTGGGTTTAATAATGAACACAGCAGTCATTTTGATGTTCCTAAATCCGAACCGCTGAAGACAGTGACTGAGTTTTGTTTTCAAAGGAAATATTCCCAGAGATCAATGCCAATGTTTTTATATTTGCGCAAATCATTTCTCACCAGACTGCTTTATAAACGAGGGTCAGTATAAAGCAGCTGAAAAAACGAATCAGGACCAACTATTCATGTCCCTGCTACACCTCCAGAAGAAGTGTGTGTAAGTTTATTAACCTTTATATTAATCTTTGCAAATTGTGAAAAAAAAATTATGACCATTAACTGTAACATCAATCTTTCATGAAATAATGTATACATCAGTAAACACATTTGTTCGTATCTCACTACTCGACCCTGCTAGTACATACAAAGATCGATCAAAGTGACATTAGGTTAACCAACCATTCAGAAACGCCCTGTTCAATACTTAGTTGTCAAACTTCTTTGCGGCCATCATCTTGTTCCTTGTTCTGACTCTGGTTTAAACTGATATGGTCGCACAGAGACTCCCGCTGCCATTCTTTTTCCAAAATATAACCTATATAACGGTTGTCAAGGCAACACTTCATGTGTGTTGTGTCAAAACGTCCCACAGAACAGAGGGTGGAGTGAGCGAGTCATTATCATTTAAAGACACATGCACAAATGCAGAAAGACAAATGCAGGCATCATAAATGTAATGCATGTGACTCCAGTGATTTAACCTCAATTTTATGAAGCAACACGAGTGTCTTGCACAAGAAAAAACAGCAACATAATTTACAAGTTTATTTACAAAATCATAATCTCCAACAAGCTTTCACAAGAGCACCACAACCCTTGTGTTGTGTTTACACATAAGCAGACTTTCTTGTGTGAACGCGTGTTGGAGATTTTGTAACATAAAGTGGTAAATTATGTTTTTTGCTCAAACAAAGCACCCATAATTAATGACAGAATTTTCATTTTTGGCTGAACCCTTTAAGGTTTGTCTGTCAAAAAAACTGAAATACTCCAGGCTTACAACATCTGTCATTATGTTACTTTTGGTGTGCAGGAGAATCTGTTGGATCAAAAAGTGCTCTGTGAGATTAAACAAGTGGAACCTGATTTTCATGTAAAATATTTCCTAATATATTTCTTTGTAGTGCCTGTGTTTAAGTGTGTCACTGGCCCAACAAAATTCCACATGACAGTCAGTCATTTGTAATTTTAATTTCATTGCAGACCAAGGTCAAATTCTTTGTATTAGCAATGCAATGGCATACTTTTTGTTTTGGTTCAACTGAACTGTACGCTACCAGAATTGATCACTGGAGAATGAAAAAAAAATTGCAAAAATTGTGTCAAAAAATAAATCCTACAGTTTTTCAACAGCCAGTAATTCCAAAATGAGTTGAATAAAATCACTAGGGAAAAAAAAACTTAAATAGTAGAACACTTAAATAGCTGATTATACAGTCAGCTCATTTGCAGAATTAGGTGGTCTATGATAAGCCTTAAGTAAATAGGATCTTGCTGCTTCAATGTGAAACATCATCCTTCTGTTATCAGTTCAGTCTCACACAGATCTCATGCTCAGACGCTATGAAAAAAGCAATTAGATGCAACAGTAAATAACACTTATCCCTCAACCTACATGCTGGATCCATCAACCAGGTGCTGCCTCGCAGAGCCCATCTTGCACTATCATCTCATAGACTGTGTAGGCTGGCGAGGATGTAAATCTCAGTGGTCAGTGCAGAAGATGATTTGCTGGGGAGGAATAGATTTACAGCATGCAGGTGGGCAAGAGTGTTAGTGTAATTTGTCCCTGGAGTGCTCCAAACTGATGAGAGAGAGGAAACAACCTCTACTGAACTGTCCTCAGCAATTTTAACAAAGCTTCAGATATTTAACATCTACCCTTGGTAACCATCTTTATGGTATTGTTGGTATACTTACTGTACATTACTGTCGGTAACATTTTCTTTTTAAAGTTTCTAATGCCCACCAAGGCTTTATTTGATCAAAAATACAGTAAAAAAAACGTGATATATATATATATATATATATATATATATATATATATATATATATATACACACACACATTCTAAAAAAGGCTGGGTTGTTTTAACCCAACTTTGGGTCAAATATGGACAAACCCAGCCTTTGGGTAACATTTTTTAATTACATTTTTAACCCAGCATTTGAGTTAGTCCATATTATGGACTCCATATTAGTCCATATTGGGTTAAAACAACCCATTTAATATATATAAATAATTTGTTCCTGTGATGGCAAAACCTAATTTTCAGCATCATTACTCCAGTCTACACAGTCATATAATCCTCCAGAAATTATAATATGATAATTTGGTGTTCAAAAAAATAGTTAAAATAGTTAAAAGAACTGATTTAATATTTCTTGAATGTTTTTGAACCGTAGTATGTATTTGACTTGTATCAAATTATTTTAATGCTACATAAAATGTAGCTATTGTCAGTTATGGAGGTTTACATCAGTCGGAGCAATGCTTCAAAAATATGTATAGAGGCCAATAGCTAATTAAGCAGCAGCGGCATGTATCCATTTACGTTTTATTCTTATATATTTCAGAGTTGCTTTAAGTACGTTTGCATTAATTTCTAGCATCAGCAGATCTATTTTGTTCCCAATGAACTTACATTGGCTCCCAAAGTGTTTGAACACTTAAGCCACACTTAAAAATGATCATTAGATTCAAAACCAACAGGTGTTTATTAAAACAAATGCAACAAGCACACTTAAAGAAAAAACATGTCTAGTGGACAAAAAAAGTATTTTAGCTGTCAAACTAGATTGGATTATGGTACATAGTGAAAATAGTGAACTACACATGTGGTTACTCTTTGAGAAAGAAAAAAAATTAAAAGTAATTACAGAAATGGTAAATATATTTGAAGTTAGGTCTGAAAATAAAAAAGTCCAGCATTATCTATTTGCAGATGCCACTTGGTTTGACATCTAGTTATCTAATACAATTAAATTTGTATACTTTAAACTAGACTTAAATGTACAAATACTTTTAATGGTCATTGCATATTTTTAACTTTTTTATTATTAATATTTTAATCTTAAATCTCAAAGCAAAAATGGTCAACCCGTCCAAAAAAAAAAAAAAAAAATTGCAACTCAAAAGCATAGCACAATCCAACTTGCTGTTATCGCACCTCTCAGTGAAAGATGACAGCTTGTTAAGGTC